GGTGGTGGTGGTGGTGGTGGTGGTGGTGGTAGCAGTACTAGTACTAGTAGTAGTAGCAGCAGGGACGTTGGGAAACGACTCACAACCAGATACTTAAAGCTACTGGACGTACGGCGAAGCTTCTGAGACACGTGCCTCCCCATAATCGTCTCAGCTACTGAGTCACGTTCCTACTGATGTATAAGCCGGCCTGAGAACCAAAGAATAAAGTAGCGTTAAGTAGTAGCTTAAAATTGACTTTTGAAAGTCGATTAAAAGCTACTTTGAAGTAGCTTTAAAGCTACTTTTAAGCTACTTTAAAGTAGCTTTTTGGTAGCCGTTGGATTGCAAAATATCATATATATATAAACATTAATTAATAAGAAGAATAACTGAATATTGAAAATAAACAGATATATATATATATATATATTAATCCTAGGTAGTCCCACGATTGAAAATAATTAACGGAAAGACAATCGACGCTCCAAGTTATAATATCTATGCCCTTGATTAATTTTATTCATTAATAAATATATATATTTGTAATCCAACGGCTACTGAAAAGCTACTTTAAACCGACTTTTAATTAGCTTTAAAGCTACTTTTGAGCTACTTTAAAGTAGCTTTAAAGCACCTTTAAAGCTACATTTAAGTAGCATAGAAGTAGCTTCAAGTCGGTTTTAAGCTACTTCAGCTACCTTCAAGCTACTTTGTTTAGATATCAGTAGGCACGTTGTGAGCCGTAGGTCCAGTAGCCTCAAGTATCCGGTTACGAGTCGTACGTGACTCAGTAGCTTCTTCGCCCTACGTCCAGTAGCTTAAAGTATCTGGTTATGAGTCATTTCCCAACGTCCCAGTAGTAGTAGTAGCAGCAGCAGCAGCAGCAGCAGTAGGTTTCGATTACTAAAATTATGGTCACACCAAAGCGTTGCTACCTAACTATTGGTGATCATATGATCATACATATGGTACAAGTACAAGTACAAGTACAAGTACAAGTACATGTATGAGTGCAAGTACAAGGAAAAATCTGAATCGAACAAGTGAGAAATCACAGTCAAAACGTGTACAAATAACATGGAGAGGTGAAATCTGGCTTGGTCAAATCAATTTTGATGCTTTTCGGACGAGCTTGCTCTGACATTTCTGAGCTCCATTTCTGAGCATGGAAACTCAGCAAGAAACCACACTCAAATCACTCACAAAAACTGGACAAGCAGATAATTTARAGTAGCAGGAATCACCACCAGCAGCAATATTATGATGAAATGGCACTGCTTTTTCATGTTCTGATGCAGAGGACCATTTAGGTTAAGCACTTGTGAGTTATTTTGATTTTTGTCATTATTTGTGCACCATTTGGCCATTCCTGTAATGTCACATCCAGGTAATCCGCCTGGACCCTTGGTAGAATACCACTATCTAGTAGCTTTACAGGATTGAAACTGGTGGGCKCTCRATATGCTAGAATTCTGGTGCCCAACATGTCAATTCAGTCTTAGTAGGCCCAAGAAGGCTCTAACAATCCATGACAAACCCAGAGGAAGGTTGCYGGAGGCAAATGCAACCTGTTGCTTTGGATTAGTACTGTATTGGTACTGGACTTGTGGATCTGTTGCAAGGAGTGTGGTGCTGTTTTTGGGTTACTTTCTACAGTCATGTACAGGTTGCTTACTAGTACTAGGTCTCTCCTAGTAAGATCCTACTCCTCTTTGTACTAGTGCAGCAGCAGGATCACCACCCAAAGGAGCCGATTTGGATGCCTGGTGAAGGAGATGAARTCTTTGCTTCTATTGAGGCTATCCATGAAAAATAACCCTTGCTTGCTCAAAAAAGTCTAGTCAGCAGCTGGTGGTGGTCTTGAGAAGATCAAGAAGCTCCAAATTTCAGGGAACTGCTGGGCCATCCAAAATCAATACTAGTACTACTAGTAGTATTGGATGGGTCAAAGACACCAACATCAACAGTATGGTGATTTTTGCCCCAGGCAGGAAGATCAAGATATGTTGTACTACTTTCAATTGTTATAGGACTTTGTATGACAGTACCATGTCTGATTACAACATTTAGTASAGAAGATGGGGGAGACCTTTGCACACCACCACCACCAATTGATATTGTGCCAAGAAAGAAGTTGTTGTCAATTCAGCCTTCAGGATCTGTGACAAGCAAGCAGGAAATGCCCCCCAAACATGCAAATGATATGTTAGCACTGTATGTTGGTCTGCCAGATTGGTCTAGACTACTATCTGGATCTGCTGGCACTATGATGCACAGGTGTTCATGATGGGCAGATTTTATTTGATTTTTGGCATTTTCGTAGAGTTGGGGATAATACTAATATTATGTAGTAGGAATCAAGCAATCTGATTGACTGATTAGACAGATCAAAATTTGCAGTCCCTTGAAATTCTTGCAATTCTATTTAAAACCGTAGAATAAGGACCACCATACAAAATTTGATTTCAAATGTAGTAGTACAAATCCTCCGTAGAATTTATTTTTGATAATTTTGATCAGTCTAGTAATCAGCCAATCAGATTGTTTGATTCCATGGGTATTATCCCTACTACTAACTCCAAGAAAATTTCAGATATCAAATAAAATCYGCAAGGGACTGCAAATTTTGATCTGTCTTCAGTCAATCAGATTGCTTGATTCCTAGTAGAAGTACAAAATATTAGTATTATCCCTAACTCCAAGAAAATGCAAAGTATCAAATAAAATCCGCCCGTGAACACATAGTTTCCGGAGGGCTGTGTAGTAGACACGTACGTACCGGTAGGAGTAGTCGTACTAAAATTACTAACCTCATCGTAACACTATTTCAAAGCATCTTTTAAAGATAACTTCGTTGATTCCTAATGGAACCCTCATCAACTTTTTTTTTGGTGTAACCTTAAGTATTTGAATCTGAAATGTATATCGATAAGTAAATTGTTTAAGCCGATATCATTTTCCTCAGAAAGAAWAACAATCGTTCTATTATTTTATCATGATGTACTGTACAAACACGATCAGATTGTATCATGTCCAAAAATTTCACACGATTTTACCGTACGTACGGAACTGTATCGTTCCAAACAAATATCATCGGCTTCCCCATAATTTCGTAGCGTCTCACTTCACATAACACTTTCATTTACGGAAACGCACCCTTGCCTTGTTGAACAAAGAATACATCAACCGTTGCCATCATCTTCTCAACGTCTGTTTGAACAATGAGGTTTAGTAATCCATCCACGGTTGCGTCACTGTTCTTGTTGTGCAATGTCGCACRAGGATCACTCTTGGAGAAACGGTTTAGCATCAACGGACCGGAGTACAAGTATGAAGATCTGCAATTCTCAATGGATTTCGAAATCAGTGATTTTGTACAGGATTCTATGATYGRGTATTCGTTGTATGATGGAATGGCCTGTAAAGACGGCGGCGACAACGATATCACCGAGAATAGCGGATACCTGTTATCCAGAATTCGAACCGATCAAACACCACCGGGAGACGGAAACGGAGTTCGAAAGATCAAGATCCAGTCGGAGCTCAATTCAAAATTGATTAAAGCTTCCCCAATATATCAAGAGGACGAGGACGGCAACGTTACGGTCGAATATTGCATGCGTTTCGGTGTCTATAACACAGACAAGACCAATGCCTTTGCGATGGAAACCAACTTTCTGGAAATTCCGGTAAAGCTAGTGATTGATCTGAACGCTGGCTTTGAAGTCGATGCCGCAGTGAGCAACGCGGATGGTGTTCTCGTCGAATCAGAGCAAGGTGTTGCGGTYGAAGCGTACATCTGTGACGACGACGAGAACATAGTGCCAATCGTAGGATTCGAGCAAGGTCAAACGGTCCGTGTCTGTGTCAGCCCTACCCCTTCGAATCTAGCCGCCGGAGCTCTGATGAGACAGATCGAATCCTTCACCTTCAGAAGATTGKCCCCACTGTTGGTCGAGCAGCCCGCAATCAACCCCCAAACGGGCGGTGATGCCGCGGACGATTTGACGATTGTTTCGTGCCAACCCGGATCGACGGTTTGTGCCTTCGAAACGTTGCTGTATGCCGACTTTTTTGTCGAAGAGGGACAAGTTATAGGTAAGAAAACACAATGGAAGAAAGCGAAGTGAGATGCTGCAAGAGCTGCTACCAGTCGTTCTTGTGTTGGATGGATCGACTGGAGTGCTCGCAAAGGAATCGATTTGCTCGATTGGCTCGCCCGGAGTTTTGTGTTTCTCACGATGCGTTTTTGTTTGTCRTTGCTTCCATCCACAGGTGCGGGAACGGCCTTCTTGCAGCTGGGAACCGGTGCCAGTGCAACGTCCCGTAGGCTGCAGGMAACGCCCAACCAAATCCTAAGTGAGAATCCCACGAAATTTGGGGTAACACTCAATCTGGTCACGGTCGAGAGCAGCTACCAGATGGCAAACACGAGTGGTGCCGCTCCCGCAGCGCTCACCACTGCATTTTTCGGCCTCGCATCCCTCGCAACGGCCCTGGTTCTTTTCTAATGAACCAAAAGGGCAACCGACCGCGATCGAAAAACCACCAGCACTCGAAGCACGAATGCCTTTCGTTGTGGAAAGGCTCAGTATTCTCAAAATCGTATCAATGCACAACACTGCACAGTGTACTAYTGTCCATAATAAGTTATTTTTTCTTCGGAAGCCAACAACTAGTAGCAGAAATCTATTTAGCTTTGTACTTTTTTGACACTCAATGGAGGAGTGGTGGTGGTCTTCCGTTTTCGAAAGAGATTGTGAAGACTGCCTTGAACTACCATGCAAAAAAGTCACTAGACTTTCATTTGTTTCTGTAGGATTTTTCGCCATAGATTGAAACAAGGACCGACAATGAATTCAAATTGGACTTCCACTTACTACTGGGTACGTACGAGTACCGGTAGGTCATCGTTACGATGTACTGTACTGTACTGTACTTTTCTGTAATACTATATTTATTTTTTGCACTATTCCTCTCCATCTGCTACGTACGAATCGTACCATCCGTTCTTTCTGTCGTACGTACAACACGAGCACGTAACACGTAACATTGGATTTCTGGCTTCTTTTTCTTTAAAAAGCGTATAAAATAAAATTTACAATTAAAATTTTGACACCGTTTCGAAATTTTTAGAACCAGATTGTTTTTCGCGCGTTTTCTTTCTTGCGCGAAAGCACGATGGGTGCGTCTGTACGGTACGTACGGAGCGGAGCGAATGAGATGCTGTAGATGCGCTGCGATGTGAGCAATGACATCATCGTTTCCAGCGAACCAATGAGCGTTCAAAGATGGCGAAGAACCAGAAACCATGATTGTTCTGACACACCGCCAAGATGAACAAATGCGCAAATAATAGTACTGTAATACGAATCATACGGTACGGGAAGGAAATCCCGCCACACCTCACGAAAACTGATCCGTTAGGTTTCGGTACGGTACGTACGGGTATGCGCATTGGTATACCCCACGTCGAACAAGAATCCATTGACACGGGCACACACACAGTACAACATCGCGAAGAGCGACTTCGATCGGGTTGGGTTGCAAACACAGGACCCCGAGTTTCGAACACAAGGTTGCGGGAGTTGACAGACGATCGGTCGGCGTTTCTTGGTCGAATTCTAGTACGCAATTCGATTTCGACGAAACACGATTGTTTCTCTTTCGAAAATGGCGCGAAGGATGGGTGGCATTCGCAACCAGCAGACCCGTGCTCGGCGACTGCCACCGGCGATGCTATCGGTTTTTGCGGTCCTCCAGGTTCTTCAATGCGTCCGATTGCCAGCGCCAACGATAGTAGTGGTGGAATCCCTTTCTGTTCCGTCCCGATCTCGATCGACGCCGCCGCTGACGGCCACGTCGCTGCGGATAACCACACTGCCGTTGACGTCGACGTTGACGTCGACGTCGACGTCGGTTCCGGAGCGCACCAGGATACAGTCGAAAGCCGGTCGGAAATCGGCATCGGCGTCGATACCGCACACGCTCCTTCGTGCATCCCCCGACGACGCGACCGGATCAAAGTTCACGGCAGGGAACGTTACAACCGSACCCGCCAGCGACAAGGATTCCAAGGGGAACAAAAACAATGCTCTTGCTGACGACAGCAACGGCGACAGCGAAACCAAGGGCGGACTCCTGCCCTCGTACAAACAACTGATTGTCTTTACCGCCACCACCATTCTCATCTGGCTCAGCGAACCCCTGCTCAGCCTGGTCGACACGACGATCGTCGGGCTGACGGCCTCGGCCGAGAGCGCGGTGGTCCAGATCGCCGCGCTGGGGCCGGCGACGACGCTCTTTGACAGCCTCGTCTACACGACCTACTTTTTGGCCATCGCCACGACCAACCAGCTGGCCCCCGGGCTGGCGGAAGCGGCCGCCACGGAAACCGGGGCGGCTGCTTCTGCTTGCGGCTCGAAGAACCCGTGGCGGGACCTCCGCAAGTCGGCGTCGCACCTCCTGGGCCTGGCCATCGTCTTTGGGTCGCTCGTGTCGGCCATTACCTTTGTCTTTGGGAGGGGCATCATCGAGTACATGGTGGGAGCGGGTTCCACCAACATGGGCGCGGCGGAAGCCGGCGCCATTGTTCCACTGGCCACCAACTACGCCAGGATACGAGCCGCGGTGGCGCCCGTTTCGATCCTGGGCTTTGTGGCGCAGAGTGTGAGTACAAATTTTTGTGTGGATCTGTTGGTGGCTCCGGTTGTGTCCGGGCGGGTGGGAGTGTGTCGCGGTGCCTGCACACGGCGTTTCGTTTCGATGCAATGCGATGCGATGCGATGCGATGTGATTCGATTCGATTCGATTCGATCGCGTTTGGATCGATGCAGTGTTTGCTCTTTTGATTGCACCCGTGTTGCTCATCCCTATTTTTGGCCCGGCGAATCAAACGAATCCACCACCAACAACAACGACGCAMTGACAGTTCTGCCTGGTGAATCTGGACATTGCCACCCCCGCAATAGCGGTCGCTGCCGCCTCCGTCGTGAATGTTGTCGGAGATCTGGCCCTGTCGGCTCGATACGGGATACAAGGGGCAGCGGTAGCGACGGCCATGGCAACGGTAACRTCCTGTGCCATTTTGCTAAGAAAGGTCCGCAAGACCACGAATCGATGGAAGATGAAACAGGAGGATCTCGAACGACGGGTTGCTGCGAGCAGCAACCATGGTGCGAACGAGGTAGCCACCAGAAATGATGCAGATGCAGGTACAGATACAGATACAGATACAGATACATTTACAAAGACACCACCAGCAACAAACGAAGTACCAACAGAAACAACAAACATGTCGACAGGATCCTCGGAAAGGAAAAGCACGGAACAAATACTAGACAACAAAAACAAAAACAACAATATACCCTTTTGGTCCATTCCCGACAGGACATCCATGGTCAATCTGTTCAAGTTGGCGGGCCCCATCTTTTTYGTCATGATGGCCAAGGTTGCCTGCTACAACATCATGACCATCCGGGCAACCACCCTGGGCATTGTCCCGTTGGCGAGCCACAACATTATGATGCGTGTGTTTTTCTTCTTTGCGTGCTTTGGGGATTCGCTGAGCCAGGCGGCTCAGAGCTTTTATCCACAGGTGGAAGCCAAAGAGCGCGGGAAACTCATCCGGCGGCTCTTTTGGATTGCGTCCTTTGTGGGGCTCTCCAACAACCAATCCTCGCAGCTGATACTGAAAAAACTGGGCCGATTCCTCGCAAAGGACGCAAGCATCATTGATCTGATGGCACAGCACGCCCCGTGGGTCGGCTGTGCYGTATTGTTGCATCCCTTCATCATGCTCCTAGAGGGTACCGTCTTGGCAAACCGAGATCTCGTTTTCATGGTTGGAACGTACTCGCTGACCTCGCTGCTCCACTTGAGCTTTGTATTTTCTCCGATTTCGTCGACCTTTACGGGTCTGTGGCGTGCCCTGTTTGGGTTCCAGCTGATTCGACTGGTGCAGTTTGCGCTTCGGGTTTGGATCAAATCGAGGGCGTCGACCGGTAGTAGCACCAACTATTCTTCCATCGGCAACGCCGACCAGGAAGGGATTCCAGCCCCACCCTTGTAAAAGAGGAAAAAGAAACAATTTTGGGACAGGTGGCATTGCAAATTGAATTCTTCTATCGAGTGACAGACGCACACGAAGTCATTATTAARAGGAAAAGATGCTTTGCCGCGATGGTTACATGCACATTAACTGCTCTCTATTCTATGCGTCAAGCGTTGTACTATCTTATGTTGGCTAGTACCGTACCGTTTAATGCTGTTTCGTTGCAGAGCCGGAATCACGAGTGCTCGAAATGGCACTTGTCWCCGAATCGGCAGCCTTTGCTGGTGCGAAAAAAAAGACAACTCTTGCGCTTCTTYGGCTTCTTTGYTTCGCCCGTTTTGATTCGATCGGGCGCGACTGTGAGTGGGGWCGCACGAGGCCGGGATTCCACATCGATTGAGTCGACATCTCTGCTACTACTGATGCCGTTGCTATTTCCAACGCGGCTCGCAGCCATGGCTCTAGCTAGGGACGACGCCGGAACATTGATGCTGTCGAGTGTCTTGTCGCGTTTGTCGCCGGGTAAAACACAGCAGGCGCTATCGAAACCAGTTTGCGTAGACCCATTTGATACGGAAGGTGATCCAAACTCGAGMAATTTCATTACGAGCTCCGACGAGAGTCCCATGGCGCCATCGTTCGTACCATCGTAAAATTTTCCGAAAATCCATCGACGATCTGAATTTCTAATCGCTTCGAACGCTTTCGCGTCGACTTTTCTGGAGTCGAATGCTGGCATGGCAACATGCTTTAGTTTCATTTTGATTGTTTTGCTGGTTGTCAGATTTCCGGAGCTCTTTTCGTTTTTACATTCTTCTTCAACTGGTAATCCAAATATATTTGCATACTCAATGCACCAACCCGAAGAATTTGYRGCGGATTCTTTTGTTGGCTGTGTTGCATCTGGAGAGTGTCGTGAATTAGTCTCAATGCCCAGCAATCGATCCATGTCAGCAACCATTTCTCCCTTGCCAAAACTTAGATTGTAATGCTGTACCGTCCGATGTCTTGCGGGAAGCAGCAGCTCCCGGACCAAAATGGACTTTGCCAATATCGGCAGTTTTTGGGGCACTGAGCCTTTGTCTCCCCAAAGGACATAGTATTCTTCGCGTCTCACATGGGATGTGACTTCTAGGGCAACGGTCCAGAGAGGATAAGACATACCTTCCTGACGTCTTTTCGAAAATTCGATAAGAATACCATTCCAACTAGTTTCCAACGATGTTGCGCCATTTGTTGTCGATATTTTTGATGCGGCACAGATCCTGGACATCGCATCGTAGCACAAMATTTCGTCGTCGTCGCAAGATGTCGACTTGATTGCGACAAGGGRCTGTTCACCTTCGAGCGCACCTTCTTGTTCTTGTTCTCTGCTATTCCAGTATGCGTCGTAGGCAGTCGAGCGCATGTGGCTGATCGTTCGTGCAGTGGCACTGGCACTCATTGATTCTTCAGTTCTCKTAGAACAGGCAAAAGAAGTATATTGAAGCCAGATCAAGATGCGAATCACACGCGCATGCCATGAGGCAGGGACACTGCTTTGGGTATTCGACATACCTCTAGTAGCATCGGATTGGCACGCTCGCAATCGATCCGTCACAAAACTGACAACTGTATCCATATTTTTAATCTTTGGATGCCTTGGAGTGGCCCGGTGTGTCGCACAAATTTGTGTMAGACGAGCCAGCGTCGCGATCAGTTCCTCTCTGCCTCGAACTGATCGATCACCGTCGCCGCCAGCTGCCGATCGCCTATACTTGCTGATGGCTAAGCAAGGATCTAAGATTCTTTTCGACTGAGGAAGATGACAGCTTTCCAAAGTTGCTTCCATCTCTGAGACTTGACTGAGCTCTTGACGTTCGATGAATTCCTCTTTGCTACAAAACTGATAAGGTCGCATGATTGCCATCCTATTTTTTCATTTGTTCAAATACAGGCCGGCTCAGCCTTACATAATTCGGCGTGKTGTTCGTTGCAGCTCGTAATCTAGTGATCTAAATTCCTCTTGAGAGAAAGAGAAACAAAYACAAAGTCAATATGGAGTAGGCAACAAATTGAAATGTTGCAGTGTTGSATTGGCGTGAATGTTCAATGAATAGAGCAACGCTGGATTCCTTTCAGGAAAAGTTGTTKGTGTTTTCTGTGGTTCGTTGTCAACTCTTCAGGTCTACTAAAAGTAACACCTCGTCCTCTGATTTTGGTGGTACGTGCTGTCCCTATCTAAAAGAAAATTCGAGGCGCGCGCGCCGAGGATTTTCTTTTTAGATAGGGACAGCACGTGCCACCAAAATCGTACGACTCCGAGGCAAGTGAGCTGCTGAATTTTCCTATAGGAGGCTCCTTTTCCGAGGCCCTTGTGGCCGAGGAAAAGGAGCCTCCTATAGGAAAATTCAGCAGCTCACTTGCCGAGGAGGAGGACAAGAGGAGAGGGGTGTTAGTTGTGTAATCCAATGCTTGCAAGGTTGAGCAGAGTGGAGGAGACCCTTGCCAGCGATTGACGTTGCTGTTTTGCTGTTTTTTCCGGGGGGACAACAAAAAACCTGTATCCGGGACAACAAAAAACCCTGTATTCCTACGTGATTTACGTAGGCTTAGTACAAGATGGTACCAAAGTACCACTTTTAAAATGCATCATTCAGTAGAATCTGTACTACATTCTACTGTGTGGTGCTGCTTTTTTTTGGATTTCACTCGCAAAACTGCTGCAGCTGCAGTATTCATTATTTAAATCTAGCTCACTTGCAAAGGCTTGACCATGGGAATAGGTCTCCTTTGAAGAACTGTAAGTGTCCTTTGTCAGCATTGTGTGTGTCAGCGTCCTCGTCTGTATCAGCACGTTCGTATCAGCATCCGTATCAGCGTCCGACACCGTATCAGCGGAGACCGTATCAGCGAGCCTCCGTATCACTGGCTCTTATCAGTGACTCTTATCAGCGTCCACCGTATCAGCGAGTGAGCCTACGTATCAGCGTCTCGTATCAGCGACTCATATCAGCGAGCGAGCCTCCGTAACAGTGCTGTTTTCTGTCTCAGCAGCATCGGCCGTAGTATCAGTGTTCTTGTTTGTTGGTTGTTTCAGCAACCGAACTACGAGCACTGCCTCCTCCAATATAGGGGAATGGGCTCTTATCCCTCCCTGGTCCCTCCCTGGATCCAGCAAATGAATTACAAGCATTGCCTCCTCTGATACAGGGGAATGGGCTCTTATCCCTCCCTGGATCCTCCATATCACCAGCGTTGTCCGTATCAGCAACTCGTATCACCAGCGCGTCCATATCAGTGCGTCCGTATCAGCATCCTCCGTATCAGGAGCGAGCCTCCATATCAGTGAGCCTCCGTATCAGCAACACGTATCAGCATCCTCCGTATCAGCATCCTCCGTATCACTGCTGGCTCGTATCAGCAGCTCGTATCAGCATCCTCCGTATTAGCGACTCATATCAGCAACTCCTCATAGCAGCTCCGTACCGTAGATAATAGTAGAGCATCGTACTGGAAGTACATAGTAAGAAGATGGTACCGAAGTACCATGTAGTGGTACCAAAGTACCACTTTCATTTTTGTCCGTTGAGCCTATTTCAAACCCTCATTTTTTCGGTTACTTAGGGTCTCCGACACGTGCTCGACCGTGCAAAAATTGGATTACCAAGGTACCATACCATACAATTCCAGAGCAGGCAAGTTGAAGTTGAAGGCAATTCCCGTGCAAATACTAGTAGAAATTTTTAGCTCATTTTTTCAGGTAAAATCCGTTATATTATGTCAGTGCGATAAAAACCGTTAAAATTCTCATTCAACTTCTGAAAAAATTCTGGCATGGAGAATTGCTGAGGGCAGCACCAGGATTTATTCAGAAACTGAACCCATTTCACCCATTGCTTTCTTGCCTGACTTTTTTCAGATTTTGAATGCCATAATTTTAAAACTGCTGGGAGTATGCTCCTTCATATCAGTGTCCTCCATATCAGCATAGTACTCCTCTATATCAGCAGCATCCTCTGTATCAGAGTCCTCTGTGTCAGTATCATTCTTATCAGCAGTGTCCTCCATAACAGCAGGGGTGTCCTCCTTGTCYGCAACAGCAGGAGTGTCCTCCATATCAGCAGCGTCCTCTGTATCAGTGCCATTGTTAGTATGAGCAACATCCTCTTTATTAGCTAGCAGTGTCCTCTGTATCATCATATTCCATATCACCATACTCCTCAGTATCAGCATAATCTGTTGTATCGGTGTACCCATATCAGTGTACTCTAAATAGCATAGTACTCCTTGTTATCAGCGTACTCTGTATCAGTGCACTCCTCTGGATCATCAGTTCTCCCATATCAGCAACTCCTTCATATCAGAGGCCCCTCCATATCAGTGTTATTTGTATCATATCAGCATACTCCTCCATATGAGCAGATCTCCCATATCACAGGCTCCTCAATATCATATCAGCATCCTCCATATCAGTCAGCAACACCTATCAGCGTTCTCCTCTGTATCAGTGTCCTCCATATCAGTATCCTCTGTATCAGCATACTCCTTATGCATACTCTGTATCAGTGTCTTGTAAATTGGTTGATTATTGTTTTTTTTGGAAGAACCAATGTTAAACTTGTCTTGTAGTACMAAATCATCCAGTTGGTTCATGATTCATCATTGATAACACTGGCTGATTGACTTGAAGAAATGGCAGTCTTTTTTATATCTGCAAACACTGCCCTTATTGTGACATACCTCACTTCCATTATGAAGATCACCCTGTCCATGACCAACATACTCTCTTCCTGCCATTGCTGGCTGGTCAGTGRACATACTATTAGCTTGGCACTACACCCTTCCGACTCACTTGAGTATCTGCAAAGAATGCAACTTGTCCACATGCTGATCCCTTGAGTACAAGATAGTTGAGAGATGTTTTGCTTGAGTATGAAGCCTCTGCACACCTGTCCCTTGAGTATCAGCAAATGCTGGTCCCTTGAGTATGAATTGTCAGATAAGCCAGCCAGCCCTGGAGTTTTGGAATTGCCCCTAACTTGCCAGCACTGGAACTATACTTAGTAGTAGCTCTACAACTCATTGAACAGATTTGCTTGAGGGTCATCGCAAATAACCTCCATGTTATAGATTGGCTTGCTTACCCAAAAACTGTAGTTTTTATGCTGCAAAAACATAGCAAGGTAGAAGTAGTAGGAAGTACTGCTCTGAAAAGAAAARAAACATAGAAGCTAATGAATGAAAGCACTGTTGCTATTTGTTGTTTCAGGAAATGGAATTCATTGATTTGTTATGTATTTTGGGTATTTTTGTTGTTGTTGTTAGTGGTGGTGTTTACTGTAACAAGAAAAAGAGGTGCTCTTTTTACAACAACAAATAGAGCACTATAAGTTCTAACTCTTGAAAGCACAGCAACATAACAAATCCAAGTGCTTGTGTAAGACCAAGTTGAAACCAACACATTTTCCAAAGATCTTCCCTGTAATTTGTGAAGAGTTATTGCATTTGCAATATTAATCAGGAATTGAGCTAAATGTACCAGCACTAGTAGTACTAGTAGCATTCCTCCATTGTGACTTCTTGTTTGAGTTTGATGGGTAATTTTTGATTCATGCTCTTCTTGTTGTGAACATGATTGAAATTTAGCTCTTGCTGCAGTTCTTTGAGAAGTTAAAGTGATCACTTTTTTAATCTCCTTCTTTAAGCACCAGAACCTCTAGTATCCATTCAACTTTCTCAACATCTACACATTGAACAAAAAATCCATCAATATTGATACTTTCACAATCCTGATACCCATTTTTCAGTTTGATAGGCTTGAACCTGTACATGGCTCCATTTGCTTTTGATTTCTCAACATATGTTGTCACCAATCATGGCAAGTCTACCAACATACAATTCAAGCACTGGATCTATCTTTTTGGAAGATTTGGTTCCACCTGCAACAAAGTCAGCATCTGATGTGGCAGTTAGTGAGCAGTATTTCTGAACATTGGATCTATCCCTTTGGAATATTTTGCTCCACCTGCAACAACGTCAACATCTGACAAAGCAGTTAGTGAGCAGCAGTATTTCTAAAACTTTGTTATGTTGACTCCTTCAGTRTTAYGTTTTAGTGCAACAAGTGTCTGYTACTGATCATCACTAGTAAATTTCCTCCTCATACCACTTGAATACTAGACTTTGTTTGATTAGTTTGTGAAAGAGGGTTCTCAGATTGGTTGTCATGCAATTCTTCAAGTCAACATGTGCTTCTTTAGGAGAGAGGCAGTGCTTCATGCTGTAGTACTACTAGTGGTAGTGGACCATTACTTTGTTTGGTGCTCAGCATCACTGTCAAAGTGAGTATGAATGTTCAGGAAGCATATTTACACACCTGCTATGTAAGAAAACAACTGTTTATTAACCCTTGCTTTCAAAACAAGAGTCCATTATAGTACTACTTTTGACTTTGCTCTTGCTAGATGTTCTGCTAGTACTAGGTAATTGCCTGTCAGTAATCCATATACTACAATTGCAAAAGGTGATAATTTGCCTTTTGGTTTCACGTAACATGAGGGGAAAGTGCAATGGTGAGAAAAATGCTAGTGACTYTTGTATTTTACTAACCGTGCTTGTTCTGAATGCTGTGGTGTTCATTGTAAGATGAGTGCAAGTAATGTAAGTACTAACATTGAGTGGACAAGCAAATTCCTCAAGGTTGTAGGTGAGAAGCTTTTCAGTACTATTGCTACTATCTGCTGATGCTACATCAGGTGGGGGTTTCAATAAGTTACAACAACTGTCTCTAGGAGTAAACAATCCAACTGTAACAAAATGGTTCCCCTCTGTGGTGTTGAAGATCCAGACAATCCAAACTGCACTGTAAACCTCATCCACTTCTATTGTGAGATGTGTGATCCTAAACAAGAACAACTCCTTTGTCACTCAAACTTGAAGAGGAAGAAGAACAGCCCTCCTTACCATTTCAAGACCAGCATCCCTGTTSGCAGGATCAGCTACATTAGTAGGAACTGCATAAAAGACTTTGATGATGTYGCTGACTTTAAGGATTGGGAGAAGTAGTATACTCATCATGACAATAACCATAGATGCTGTACTATCCTTGCCTCTGAWGATCTTGCTGTTCTGGAAAGATGA